TAAAAAGTTTATAAAAACATATAACCATAAGGATTAAAGTGGATCTAGCGATGACTGCCATGAAATCATCGAAAGCATCCACCTCACGAGACTTAAATGAAGAATTTATGGATGTAAACAGATTTTGCATGTTTGACGTTGTTTAATACTTTTAAAATATACTTTTTAAAATTCTGTTTCTAAATTTTTCATTTAATAACAGCCTATATTTGTTTTAAATATTTTTCTATATAACTATTACCGAATATCTTGTAATTGCACCAAATGACTTGAACGTTTTTTTTAGTTATTAGACTGACCAGTTTACTAGACAATGTCTAAATAATTTCTCGCAAAAATTGCGATTGTTTGAAATGACAAAAATACAGAAACTCACTTTTTTTTTAACTTTCTTTTATCTGAATATAGAACGAAAATTTAAAGAATGTGTTTTATTGATCTTGGAAAATTATATGCATGCGGAACTTTTCGTTGAAATTGGTTAACGTTGCTATGAGCTAGTGATTTTTACATTTTTTGATGCTTGTAACTTGATGCTGTGTCAACCGATTTCGATGAAACTTTCAGTATGCATATAAAGTACCGAAATCTAGAAAACTCAATGTTTAATTTTTTCTTATAACTCAGACAAAAAAGTTTTTAGTGTATCGATATAGTATATAGATTGTCTCAAACATGTCATGAAACTGAAACTGAAACTGTTCCTGTGTGTCCTAAGTATCCCAATAACATTCAGTTCGTTCGAATACGTTACAATGAAATGAAATTCTCAAAACTAGTCAAAACTTAGTGTCACCCATACATGACCAACACAGCGTTCAACGTGTTAAAACGTTAATCACTGTACACGCGACCGGTACGTTTCTTTTCCGCGTGAGATAAAAACTCGAGTGGTAAAAGAAACTGCTGGCAGGAATTTTCACCGTATCGAAAGGAATTCGAACGGGAGTGACGTGAATTGCGACGTCAGCTTTAGTGTCATTGGTCGTATAGCGAGATCACTGACCTTTCATCCACGTGATTTTCGTGATCGGGAAACCAGCGACCGGACATTTGATGACAGTGGTTTCGCCGGCCACTGCGGCGTAGTTTCCCATCGGCCGGACATGGGGATGGCCGTAAATGTTGAGACGAGCAGAATGGTGGACCTTCGCCACCCGGTTCGATGCCGAGCATCGGTACTCCCCGCCGTCTTCCACGTGCACCACGCTTATGTTCACGTGCGATATTACCTCGCCGTGCACCGTCACATACTGCCCTATCATAAACCTGCGAGCAAGCAACCAAGCAAACGCTGGCTGGGCGACGTTATACGGCCTTTATACCGCGTTGATATTTTCCACGTTTTCCGAACATGGAACGCCGCGGAATATTCTGCTCGAACTTTTTTTTCGGAGATTCCGGGTTACCAAAGAATGCCGAGTGAACTAATTGGAAATCTTATTACAAGTTCTCCGCCGACGATATTGAAGTCGAGCAACTACTCGAAGCGGATCAGATGTCCTGGCAGATCTTGTTACGGCAGCCGCTCTTTTACCTGCCGAAACCTTGGTTATTACGGCTGAACCTACCATCGCTATTCGAATCACCGATTTTACATATTTTATTTTATAATGCACTTTTTTTTATTCATCAGCAAGTTACGGTAAGTCTGGGAACAGTTCAACACATTAACACTAAAACCACCGAGCATTAAAAGTAAGTAACGCGTGTTGTTTCATAAGGATAACAAGACTGAATCTAAATAGGGCTATTTCTTCGTCACTTCTGTCATAATGTATGCTTGAATTCCGATAGTTTTCAATTTATTTCTTGTGAAAATGTCTTTACAATTAGAACGATCTTAAGAGAAAAGATGTAAGGTGGGCCATTTTGATCAGCTCGGTAGTGTAAAGTATATTTAGTGGCAAGTTTAGTGTTTAGTGCCGATTATCAATGCCAAAAATTCTCACAATATCAAAATCATTTAATTAACGAAATCGAAACCAGAAGATTAAAATTTAGCATAGCAAATATTTGAGCGATTCTTTTGTATTCTAAAAATTCTTGTAACATTCAGCTTGTGAAATATATTACAATAAAAATGACTATCAAAATCTAGTTACAAATTAGTGTCAGCCATATGTGACTCGTTAAATAAAGATCCTGACATTTTTTATTAAGCAGCATAAAGCAGTTGCTTATAATGTCGATAGGCTTAGTGTTAAACGCCGATGTTATTTTTGAGCCGTTTATTTTGAAAGTGGCATAAGTCATTTTACCGTAATGAAAAGTGGTGAAAAATATCAGTATCCTGAGATAACAAATACAAGTAAATGTTCTCGAAAGTTAGCATCCATATTTTTAAACGTGTTAAAACGCAAACCCTTAAATATATCGACTTAAAAACAGAGTGACTTATGCCACTTTCAAAATAAACGGCTCATTTGCAGACATTATTTCGGTTTTTGGGAAACGTTGACGAGAACAGAACGACCCTTGGGGATTTCAATAATTGTTCTCCCAGAAAAAAATGTTACTTGACCTAAATCCCACTTCGATTTAATCAGAGAAAGTTTGGGTTGGGTAGAATTTTTTCTGGATGAGGGTGCAGAACGAGGGGCGAATATATTAAAAAGTTATTAAAATTGGGGATGATGATTTATTAAAAAATTATTGAAATCGGGGACGGCTCCGTTTTCGTCAATATTTACCTGTTCTATTTTTAAATTTCCAATTTTCGTTCGAGTAAGTATAGAGTAATTAGGATGCATGCGACGTTGATTTTAAAGTACAGTCTAAAGCAAAAAATATTTCCGTGAAAGAAAATACGTGTGAAATTATAATACCCGAGATAAAATAACAAAATTTGTTTACGAAAACTAAATTGAACTGAAAAAAAAATAAATTTATCATTGACCATAACAAGAATTAATAATAAACAAACAAACAGTTTCTCTTGACGAAACGAATGCACAATTCGCATTACTATATGCGAATTTCTAAAAAGAAGCTGCAGATAATAAAAAGGAAAAAGATGTTAGAAAATAAAAAGGAATAGAAAAAACTAATAGAAAATAAATTTGATGCGTTTAAAATACTATGCTACATAATTTCTAAATTGTTTTCGTCGGTTATTTATTTTAACGTGTTACATGGCGCGGCAAAAGTTTAATCGGCCAAGCTACATGAAAAAAATGTGGTCGCGATCGAGGATTCGATGGCATTATCAAATAGCATATACGGCTGCCTGTCAAATCTATCATTCTAAATCGAGCGGCTCTAAAAAGTTTAGACTGAGCCGGGTTGATTGGTAATTTTCCCCTCAATTGGTTCAGAGAATCGAAGCCTGCGGGGAGGAATCCGTTCCCACGAGGACAGCGTTATAACAGGGAAGCCGGTCTGATTTTCTGACGACCGTAATACCCGCGGTTTAATAGCCGAAAATAATTGTGTATACACCATCCATCGATTTTTGTGGGTGGTAACATTGCTCTCGAATTGAAGAGAGCACGCGTGACTGGGTACCCGTGTCATTCATCTAATTCTTAACACCAACGAATCTGTTTGATGAGCGTTTCACATGTTCACTTAATAAGATCGTCTTGTTAACCCTATACAGCTCGAATTTTCATTGTCATTTCAATAAATAAATCGATAAGCAAAGCATTTCATATTGGCATTAAAAAGTCTACATAACTCAAAAACAGCAAATATCAATCTCTGCACATAAATTAATAACGAATTTAGAATTTTACAAAATATTAAATTCATTCTGATCTGTGAAGTCAGAATAAAAATCATGATGCATAACCTCATTGATTACGAAGGAGAAACAATAGAACAAACTACTTTCGACATGTTATGATTAAATGTCAAATTAGATTTAAAAAACATGACAAATCAGTATATTACAACAAAGTTACATGGAGCTACAAACAGTTAAACATCGAATTTCTGCATTGAGCATTATAATTCGACTGCGTATTTTTATGCGGAATTAAAATTATTTGCGTCATTTGCGAGAAACGGGAGCGAAGTGGAAGTCTCCTTCTTGATTTAATGATTCGAATAAACTGAATTCATTAACACTATTAAATTGCACCTATCCATTTTTTTTTGTACTAAATACAAGAGATGCACAATTTAATCATTACTCTTTTTCTCCAATTTAATAACTTGTTAATATTCTAATATCAGGTTCAGATCGTAAATTTTATTTGTTTTATCATCGCTCTTATATTTCGTTGCCACAGAGATTTAAACCATTACTAGATTTAAGACTGAAGGTTTACGTAAAAGAACGTTTACAGAATGGACGACATATTTTATCTTCACAAATCAGTTTAGGACACCTTTTCTCGGTTACAAGTAAATCACAACTTTTCAATGATATCATTACCGCTAGAAGTCTGAATCAAATAATAACAACTACGAGACAGAATTATTAATTGTGCAAAAACAAAATGATAAGTTGTGCAATAAATTGTGCAAAAACTTGATAACGTATGTTTCGCCGCATTAGACTTACAAAATATACACCACACTCTATGCAGAAAAATTACTCTTTTTTTTGACAATTATGGTTATCATGATTTCGTTTAAAATTCAATTTTTTAATTGGCCTAGTAAAGGAGATGTCGCAGATAATATAACATTGCGACTGGATCGTCGGAGAAATCGTAAAATTAATGCAAAATGAAGATTATACGCTTAATTAAATTAAGAACATTCGACATATCATCGAAATGAGTTAACAGTAGATCTTGTGAGCCGAGGTTTCACCGAACTTCGCCATCGGAGAAGGTACCGTGGTTAATACTCTGTCGGCGCTTTAAGTGTTAACAGACCTTGTCGGAGAAACAAGGGGTGCAAGGAGTCGTACCTGTCGTTCTGTGGTAGAGGAAATCCGTCCAGGGTCCAAGAGAAGTGCGGCGTCGGGTTTCCTGTGGCGACGCACTTCAGAGAGACCGAGGGACCCTGCTGCATGGTGTGCTCGATGAATTTATGGAGAAGCTGCGGCGCTGCGTCTGCAAAATGTACGGTTAACAATTGAAACCTTCCGATTATAGGCAATATTAGAGACAGTAAGGTTTCAATATTAAACCTATCGAGACAATCAAAATGACCGATTTCACATTTTTTGTTCACTAAAATTGCAGAAATTATAAAGACTCTTTCACAGAAAATGATTGAGCTGAAACCAAGTACAATAAACTCTCTCCAATTGTAACTCAACTTGTAAACAAAAATGGACAATTCGAGAAGAGAAGATACAATTATTCGAGCCCCGCGGTTCGTTTTTATAATTGTTGACAATTGGTGACTATAAAAATGTGCCGCGAGGCTCCATTAATCGTATTTTCTCTTCACAAATTGTCGATTTTTGTTTACAAGCTGAGGGATAATTGAAGAGAATTTACTGTACTCATTATGATAAAAACAGCGAAAGGTCTAAATAAATAATCTTTTCATCGCTAAAAAGCGATCGGTTACTTTTTAGGGTAGGTTCAGTGTTGACAACTATTCAAATAAAAGTCCCAGAAATAAATTTTAATTTTTCGTACAATTGTGTAACTAAATTCTGTGAAATGAAAACCAGATGATTTGTGCACGTGACTATGACAATTGTTATTATCTACCAAATAATAATTTTTATCACAGAAACTTTGACATTTGGTCAGATATTCAGAAAGGTGATGATAATCCGAGATGTACAGTATACAATGTAAAGTGAAAACTTTGTTGTTTGTAAAACGTACTCTTTATCAGATCGTCCTCTATGAGAGAATTTCGCTTTACTGAACAAAATTATAGTTTGTAGTTCTTAAATTTTTAAGCAATTTATACGCGCATAAATTATAAATATGTATGCATAACGATTTACCAGGGAATGTAATCAACAGACTGCGGATCGTTGAACAAAATAAAAGTTCTTTATCTCGGTTGTAACAGACAGGAATTAAATAAAAATTTGTTTTTAACGTTTTATCCAGTCGAAAATAATCATACAGCATTGTTAAATTTTTCCCCAGCATTTACTGTGTTGTATTCGACTTACCGACTTTTGTCACCAATTCATAAAATCCGCGATCTAGCGATCAACTTAAATTAATTTTGTTGTTGATCGAACGAACATCTTGTTTATTTTGTATTGCATGGTCAACTCTTGTCGTATCAACTCGTTCCATTCCAGAGTTTCTATTCTTTACCTTTAACTCTTTGCGTTGCTACATTCACATAAAAAAGCAAAATTTATTACAATCTGTTTGAAACTATCTTTGAACCATATTGTACCAGATAAACAAATTTTGGTTGGTTTGATAACATCAAAATAACTCCAGCCGACCACCCTCCGAGGTTCACCCTTACACACAATTTCCTTAATATCTCGTTTCCGGTTTTCGATACGAATCGAACAACGGAAAGGCATCGCGTATTTATACATCGACTTTCCGTCGTTATCGAATCTGATGAAATTGTAATTCGAGAAACTTCACAATTGTCTCTGCGGCGCAGTCAACATGCCCTCTACTGGAAATGAAATGACGTATCTAGTAACATTACGGCAGACCGTCGTGTTTCAATTTCAGCAGGGAAATCGATCCTGCTGGAATTCGCTCAGTACCCATCGAGATTTCGAAATAATTCAATGGTGCGTGGATACACACTATAAGCAGGTAAATGCATGTAGATTATTCGCATGAATTCGCTGCCGAGAATTGCGCGCATCGCTTTTACGATTAGGTGTTCCCTTCTTGCGTATCCAACAGCAGCTCTAAAATGCTACGAGAAATCTGTTTGAATTACGCTGGAAATCTGGGATAATGTTATGTATCCATATCTCGAGCTGATGCACAATGATCGCGTATAAATCAACGTCCCTATAAAGCTTTTTCTGCGAAAGTCTCACGATTACGCTAAAAACGATTGCATTTAATTTTTCAATCTATTTACACCGTATTTAATAACTTGATTTCTGTTAAGGATGCCAGCGTATTGGGGTCTCTTGAATTTTCGAAAATTTCTTCTCGTAGAAATTTTAATTCAAATTGATTGCGAATTGTATTTTTACTTAACGCAGTTTTGAATAGATTCGGTTCGAGAAGTACTTCTTCTTAAACAAATAAAATTATATACTTCTTTTAGATTTTTTTTCACAATATCAATCAGCTTAACACATACGATAATCAATATAATTATATGTACATATAATATATTATATAAGTCTGCAATTTAGTTTTCAAACCATAGTTCCACGAGACGAGTATGAAATGAAATCTCTAAGTATTATGCCAACTTTGCAATGTGATTTTGATATATTGCGCTATGCGTCAAGGCGATTGGTTCACCACCTCCTTTTTTTATCCTGTTAATATTGTACGGTGCTCGATTCATTTTGAAGCGTAAACCCATTTTCTTATTATCTTCGTGATTCTCAAATAAAGTTCTTTCAAATGTAAAGTAATTTTTGTTATAAGATCGTGAAGACTGTCATGTAAGAAATTCAAAGTAATCGATGACTGCACTACAGTTAAATTATTCAAGTGTGAGGTTCGATCGACAACTGTTCCTTACCAATGTTGACTTGTACAAAGGCACAGAATGTGTAATACACTAAGAAATGAGCTTTTCAAGTACGTTTTAATTCTAATTTCAAGCGAACGAAACGAGACCTGCGTAACAAATATAAAATCAATTGTAGAACCGATATAGTATCGGCATATAACCGATATAGAACTGATATAGAACCGAGACACGGTCGGAATAACTAGCTATGAAACAGTGAATTGAATCAATATTGACTAGAACTTTTATCATTCATAACAGTTGTTTCGAGCGTTGGTAAATATTTCCATTGGTTAAAGCAATTATCGCCAGTAAATAATGTATTTGTAATTACTAGAAAATACGATTAGCTTATTCCTAAGTTCTGGGACTTATTCTAAATCTCCGGAAAGTGTAGTTCGGCTCAGAGTTCAAAATCTTACTATTGTCAAAGTTAAGTTGAAGCTCCGTAATACGGTAGAGACTCTCTTATCTCAAGGTTCATTATTATAAATATTCTATTATCTAAAAATTTCATACAAGTTCTCTACTAGCTAATAATTCAATGATTAGATGATAGAACGTTTTGATATCAGAATATTGTGAAAATAAGTATTCGGATAAGGGAGTCTCTACTGTATTACGTTGTGACGTAACATCCAACCAAAGTTTGTGTGCAACTCATTTCTTTAGGTTGATTGGGTTTCGTTTCTTTTTGGTAAGTATAAAGTTGCAATGCAACGATAATACTGCATTTAGGATTGGCCTTCAACCACTATTTTAATAACACTACTGTTAACGTGATGTCAAATTTACTCGGTATCAATAATGGTGACTTGATGTCAAATTGATTCTCAGCTTTAGGTTAAATAGATTTTCTATCAATAATGGCAACTCACCGTCAAACTGACTCCATATCAATAGTGATAACACTAAGTCACCACTATTGATTCGGAGTCAATCCGACATCAAGTCGCCATTATTAAGTCATTTTTATGTAACAAACTATTAGTTTATGTAATAAACTATTAGTGACACTAAAACAGTTATCACCACTTGAAAGTTAATCGCAAACGCAGTATTACCATTGTATTTTAACGTTATCCTTAGTGTAGTCTCTAGAGATATGCACCTAAAGTGGACCACAAAAGTCTACACACACTTTTTTAAATGTAATAACTTTTTTAAAACTCAACTAAACGATTTGTATCTTTTTAAAATGATAGAGAGACTAGTCTATTAGACCAAGACCAAAATGCCTTTTTTAAGTTTTGCTATTACTTTAAATGACAAAAAAATAAGAAACTCTTGTATTTTAACTCTTTTATTCTAGTCTATGACAAAAATGAAAAAAAATGTCTTTCGTAATTTTTGGTAACTTATATGAGTGTTGGAAATTTGATCGAAATCGGTTAACCCAGAGTCAAGCTACAGGCGTTGAAAGATTAAAAAAACTGCAGATTTCTTCCAGTTTTTGGTCAAAATCGTGATAAAACTGCGATTTTTTCCATCTTTAATTTGTTGGAACTCGTAACAACGTCAACTGATTTCGATAAAATTTTCAGCATGCATGTAAGTTACCGAGATTTACGAGAGACATTATCTAAATTTCCGATATGGGCTCAATTAAAGAAGTTAGGAAACGAGAGTTTTTTTTACCTTTTTTTGTCATCTCAAGCAATAGTAAAATTAAAAAAGAAGGCATTTTGGTCATCGTCTAGTAGACTAGTCTCTCTATCGTCTAAAAAGAATTCAAACCATTTCGTTAAGTTTTAAAAAAGTTATTACGTTTTAAAAGGATCACTGTATACACTGTTTAGGACCACTGTATATTTTGTGGATCACTGTATACAGTAAAACTCCATTTTTGTAAACTCGTCGAGAGACAAATAGTTCGTATTACTAAGCAATTCATTCAACCCTTGCCGTACCCCGCCCGGGGTTTTCCGGACTCAGAGCTCGGGACCTGCTTCGATCGTTTGAAATTAATACCGTCTGTTGTTTGTATAAACAGATGTAGCAAATGTAACTACCATGTAAAAAAGAGTACGATAAGATAATAGTAATAATAATAATAATGTTGATAATAATAACAAAATTTTGGTTAAAAATATTTGTATATGTAAGATCATGGGTTACTCTGGACTCAAACGTGGGGCTACGCGTGAACGCCCAATCGTCACTTCTGCGAGTGTTAATTGGAGACGACTGACTGTCAATTAACTCGATTATTCACCTTCAGATAAGTGAATTGAATCAGATGTCTTGTTTAATTCTCGGATTATAACAATAGCTGAACGCCTCCTATGTAATTGACTTTAGTAGAATTGGAGTGACGTTCGGTACTGGTTCTAATAATAAGAGCTCAGCTAGGATTCAAGAAACAGGATATTGACGAAACTTTCGTTCGCATAAATGGAGTTCTTCGGTATTGTATAGTTGTACTGTATAGTTGTATTACAGTTCTAGGGTCAAATAAATA